TACGGAAATAAAATTTTGTTGCATACAGACCATAACCCATTAAAGTACTTAACCGAAGGGATACCCCGGAATGCTAGATTACAGAGATGGGCATTAGCTCTATCCCGCTTCCAAGTCACTGTAATGCATAAACCAGGAGCTAAAAACTCCGATGCAGACGCATTGTCGAGGATCCCTCACGAATGTATAAGTGACCAATAATCTGAACTAAATTGAAAAAAAAAAAAAGAAACTAATGTTGGTATCATATATATATATATTTTTTTGTGTGTGTGTTTGTTTATTATTGTAACACTAGAAAGGATAATGTTCAATGCTAGTATGGCAAAAAGTATATAGATATTGTAATTTTCATTTATTATTTTTTTTTGTATTATTGTGGTTACTCTAGAAAAGATTGTGTTATTAGGGTATATTAGTAAACGAATTATTCCTTACAGAAGTGTCAGTGAGTTGATATTGCAATGTTTTGTTTGTATCGCTATAGAAATTTGGACATGTGCAGTTTTTATGTTTATGTGTTTTAAGTGTTCTTTTTTGTGTTAGTGTTTATAACTGTAGCATGACCCTTTTTTTTTTTGCTCTCTGATTTTACTGTGATTCCTTGTGCTGTGTCCCGGAAAAGAGGGACTACCTGGTAAGTGCCAAAATAATATGGGTTTCAAATTTTTCGACTCAGTCGTAAATATTTACAAACCAGAGGGGAGGTGTGAAGTTCCTTCCCCTGATGAAAGACGAAGAACGGAAGTGACTTACCCCGGAAAAACCGGTCGAGGCAGGCTGGTGGGGGGAAGAAAGACTGGACGGAGAGGGCACTGGGAGTTGGACCGGCGAGCATGCCGTGTGAGAACGTAGAGGAAAGAAATATGTTTTAATTTATTTTGCGCGCCTGGTATATATATATTGTATATAGTTTATGTTACAGTGTACTCGTTGTATGGTGTATCCATAGTGCAGTTTGTGTAATAAATTAGTGAAGAAAATGTCAAAGCGGACAACTGTTATTTTCCCACTATGGTAAGTTTACACAGAAGAACCCACCTCGTGTTTGAACGAGCGCGAGGCATGACAGCATACATAAAACTTTTGTTGAAAAACAGTTTCTTGCCTTATTCTTGTGCAATATTTGAATCATGTGCCGTGTCGGTGATGTCTATAACAGATTTAAATTAAAAAATTAGCGCTGTATCTTCAGTTGGAAAAAAGCAGTTGTTGATAGGTATCAGACAAAAAAGGTAAAAAAAAAAGGTCTTGTTGAGTCAAAAAGGTTTGAATTGATTTACTCAGCTTTTGGGTTAACTCATGCATTAAAATATAATATTAAATGTCCTGAGCCTCATTATTTTTAATTTTGGGTATTATTAAGTTAGCGATTTTTAAAAAGCTTGAAAACGAAATGCATAAAAGTTGCGATGTCACCCAAGATTTCAGAGAGTTTCTTGCTTTGTTGACTGTATGGTTCGATTTAAATTTACCTTTATTTTTATAATATTTTTATATATTCTTATTCTCGTGCATTAAAATATAATTTCGAAATATCATGGGCATTAATTTAGTACTCCAAATTTTTTAAAACCCTTTGTTATTTCTGAATTGTAATGACAATTTTCTTACACAAATCCCATGATTAAAGCAGATTACTCCTTTGCTCTACATTAGCTATTAAATCTTATTATCAAAACATTCAATTGTGGTTGAACGTATTTTGCCTACCTCCTCACAACGAGATAAAAGAAAGTATAACACATATAGTTAACTTTAATTGAAATACGTAGCTCAAAACATAAGTAGCAGACCTCAAATCCTTGGTTGGCAGCTGAAGTAGCTCATTTGTCACAAAAGGAAAATTTCTCCGCGTTTGCTGAAGAGAAGAGGCAGTTTTCCTCTTTTCTTCCTATACTTTTAAGAATCATATCATTCCTTATTTGCTGCGAAATTTAACAGATCCTTATGTTCTGTGTAAGGCAAAGCTTGAGGAGTATCTATAAATAAATATAATTCAACAGAGATAGAAATATTTAAGAGTGAAACATATTACTTTTGACTTTCAACACGTTAGTTTTACTTGAGATGTAGAATAGTTCTGAACATATTCTAATCGCGTATGTTTTTAACGCATTCTGTCTTTGATGTTAGATTTCAGTTGCTTATTAAATTAACAAGAAAGTTGCATTTGTAAAATTTTATATCCATTTTTCATCCTACAGGATGTATTATTTTAAATTTCTGTTCATTACGATAACATTAATTTCGAAGTAAATTGGAAACATTTTGTTCACGCTGTATTAAGTTGGATGATATTCATACAATTTAGTTAGAATTCAGAAACAAGAGGTATTTAATTCTTTCATTACTACCAATAATTAGTTCAAAATTATGTTCCTAGAGACAACAAGCACCTTAATTTATTTTTATATGAAGTTGTTTAAGCCAAAAAGTGTTTAATTAGTTTTGCAGTTTGGCGCTGTAAGCCTATAAAATATTATACATCTGCATATTTTGTATAACGATTACTGTAACATAAAAATACAATTGGAGAAAATACCATCGGATAAAATACCACATTCTGCCACGAGAACACTTTAAAATGCATAGTTTCAACACTAATGTTAGTTCGGGCTAATCTCAACTGAATGAAGCCTCAGATAGGAGATGCTTTTAAAAAATATTATTCATCTCTCGTAATTCAGTAACATAACATTAAAAATACATCATATTTAACATATTTGGCAAAAATATTTCAAATAAATAGAAATAATTTTATGCTTTTCGTCAGAAGCTTCACATCTGGGTGTAAAGTTTGCTTTAATCCTCTGCGAAGTCATCATTTCATTTACTCGAATGTTTTGTATAATTCGATAAATCCAGTTCCTCACTGTTTCAGCTCTCACTCAAATATCCAGTACTCTGCCACCACCCGTATGTGAAGAATTTCTTTAAATAAATAAGGAAAAAAAAGACAGTTCATACTGCAACAGATATCCAAGGAATAGGGTATCAGTTCTCTTAGGTACTATTCTTTATACAACTAAAATTTCTGTAAGCAGCTCTAGTGACATTCTGCTGGCTTTATAGGATACATTATGAAACTAATAGAGCTAAACTAAAACTATTCCTGCTACACATTCTTTTGGATGCATATAAAAGACACTTAATAAAAATTCATTGTTTATTTTGACATTTAAGACATGAGTTACTGCGTGGAAATCAATAAAGATAGTACGCGAATAATTTAATATTTTGTCCGCAGAGGATTTATTTCTTGAAGAAGAAGAAGATTAAAGAAGCAAAATCTTTGCGAAACAAAGGTTAAATAAGAGGTGGACTTTAAGTTCTAGGATATTTAGTTACTATATCTTATACATTTTAATTGTAACAACTAATAAAATTTACCGTAAATGTATCCGCCTTAAATTTTATACATTAGTTGACCCCTCAAATGATTTAGTTTAAAATTAGCCGTGGTTATTTAGAACCATATGTTGGGAATCAATATTATTAGTTTGTCTGCTGGATTACAGCTATGATAAAAACTTCGGATATAATACAATATCAACAGATATTAAGCTCAAAAAAAGCTTTAATAATAGATAATTAAAGAAGAAGTAAATTGTAATCGACTTCCTTGGACCGAAGAATGTTTATAATAAAAATGCAAAAATAAATGTGTGTGTATATATATATACCAAACTGTTTCTGTCGAAGATAGCTCGAACTTATTTAATGAAACTTAACTTCAGTAAGTATACTGTAATAATAACAATAACAAATTTATTTTAACAAAAACAACATTATTGAATACTAGCACACGCATGTGCTTATAGTTACCTATGTAACTTAGCTAAAAGCGAGCAACCATATGCTCTTACTTCAAGTCAGAAATCATACATACTAATAAGGCAAAAATAATTTAGGATTACACTAAAGCCAAATTCTGCTTGGCGTAAAACAATTCTGCCAAGCAATACTCTTTCAGACATCCCGCCCGGCGTTTAAATATTAATTTCAATACAATAAGTAAAATTCAAAAAAGTAATAAATGTTCATACAAAATGATACAATGTAAATTAATGCACAAATTATAATACATGTAATTACAATGTGAAAAGAACAAATTGATGGGTTACAATTCAAACCTTCAAATAAACATAAAAAAATTCGTACATTATTTCTCAATTGGCAGTACAGCAATTTTAGTAACTGCTCGTTTATAAATACCATTTTTGGTTTTGACGGAAACAACTTGCACAAGGTTGTCCTTCCCATAAAACACATCTACAATTCTCCCTAACAACCATTTGCAGGTAGGAAGATATTCTAACTATATTCCTGCCATTAATGGGCCAATAAATTTGTCTAACAGAATTTAATAGTGATTGTGGACCATTATGAAAATCCTTTTCATGAAAATAAATAAATATAAGTTCAGTTAACTTATTCTTGGCAAGTAAAATAAGAGGATGTCTTTGACTATAACTTAAATTAGAATTCTTTATCCTACCACCTACCCTTATCAGACCTTTTTCATCTAAGAAGAGATTAAAATATTTTAACTTACTCCTTGATGTTATCTGTAGACCTTTCTGCAACATAGAAATTTCTTCTGAAAAATACCTACCTTGGATATATTTAAGGAGTGTATTCCTTGAGAGCTCCATTTCATCTATACTAATACTACCTGTTCGTTTCTCACTTGTGTTCCTACAGTTGTAGATAAATCTGAAAAGTAAACTAAGAATTCGTATTAGTTTCAAGAAATCATTAGTTAATTTTAGTCAGTCATCAAAGAATGAATCAGTTTTTAACGTCAACAAGGAAGTTGTAACGGGTTTCAGTTCTGAAGAATAAAGCTCATCACTAAGTCCATTTTTATCTTGAAAATTGTCCTTGTTTAAAAAATCAGGACCTCTGCACCACAGCTTGTTAGATCTAAGATTTGTAACATCTGATCCTCTGGAAATGATGTCGACTAGGTTCATTTCTGAAGACACATGTCCCCACTAATAGTTAGAAGCAAGTTGTTGAATTTGTGAGACTCTATTACTCACAAAGGTTTTCAAAAGATGTGGTGATGTATTGATCCAGGCTAAAGCAATGCTTGAATCTGACCAGAGCTTAACTTCGTCAATTTTGAGTTTCAAAGCTTCTAAAACCTTTTGCATAAGTTTGGACATGAGTAGACATCCTGATAGTTCTAATCTAGGAATAGTCATGGTTTTGATTGGCGCTACACGAGATTTGCTACAAAGAAGTTTACTACAATATTCACCAGGGCTTGTAATGCTTTGAAGATATATCACTGCCCCAAATGCCTTCTCGGAGGCATCCGCGAATCCTTGTAAAATGAGCATTGAAAAAGTCTCTTTTAAGATGCAACGAGGTACTTGTATATTTTCTACACTATGAAGAGTTTTAATAAACAAATTCCATTCATTGGCAAGAGGTGGTGGTAACTGTTCCGCCCAGTCTAGCTTAAGCAACCAAAGTGTTTGCATGAATATCTTTGCCTTGCTAATAATAGGACCGAGTACGCCTAACGGATCATATAATCTCGCTATATGAGATAAAACATCTCTTTTCGTAACATCAGGCTTTTCATTAACAGTAACTTTATATTGCAATGTATCCTTCTTATTATTCCACAACATACCTAACGTCTTCACAGTTGTATTACTATTACGATCAAATGAAAAATTCTGTAAATCAGAGTTCTGCGAATGAAAACTAGTACACCACTGGTGTAGCTTCATTCCTCCTCTTTGGAGCAATTCTGTCAAATTTTTCTGGAGTTTAATGCATTCCTTCAAATTCGAAGATCCAGTAAGACTGTCGTCTACATAGAAATCTTCCAAGACCACTTTCGATGCTACAGGAAAATCCTTTTCTTCATCCTTCGCTAACTGTTGAAGATTTCTTTGTGCCAAATATGGAGCACATGCTGTGCCATAAGTTACCGTTTTGAGTCTGCATATTTCTATAGGCTTATTTTCATCTTCCTTCCAAAGTATTTTTTGATATTTGGTCTGCGATGTCAATATTTCAATTCGTCGAAACATCTTCTCAATATCGTCAGTAAATGCATAAATGTGTTTTCTAAATCGTATCATGATGGAAAAAGGTTCCTCTTGAATCATTCCACCTTTACATAATATGTCGTTCAATGAACAACCGGTAGTAGTTTTGGCACTCGCGTCGAACACGACGCGTGGATTAGGATATATGTTAAATATATGTTTATTGTTTTACTATCAGGTTTCAGCACACCATGATGAGGAAGAAAATATCCTCCTTCAGTTTCAGAATAGTCTTCCATCTTTTCCATATGATTTAACGATTCATATTCCCTTAAAAATGAAACATAAAGTTCTTTCATTACAGAATCACTTGACAAACGTTTCCACAATTGATTCAGTCTTTTTTCAGTTATTTCCTTTGAATCCCCTAATTGTATGTTTTCACCAATATCTGGCTTAAACGGCATTTTAACCACATATCTTCCATCCGCATGTCGGTTTACTTATGCTATCTGAATTTAAATGATATTTTAGACTAGTTCGAAAATTAAATCTTTTATATGTTTGCACATTTTTTAGTTATTTTAAATTTGCTTGTTTACGTATATACATGTTTGTTAAAATTTAAATTTGTTTAAATTATATTTCATTCCTTCCAGCAATGGCGCAAAGAATTAATTAAATTTGTATTTAAATTCAATTTATTCTTATGAAACAATTATATATATATATAATGTGAAATTTCAAATTAAAATGAGAGGTATTGTTAAAGTCGCACTGTACGCTGAGAAATTAATTAATAAATAAAGAGATAATAATTAAATCAAAGAAAGAGGGTTGACAAATTTTCATCACTTACTTTTGATCTCGTAATTTATATTATGGATGTGAATGTGTGTGTTCAGTAAAACAAATCTAATTATTCTGACCTCGGATCTATTAGTTCTCGATATAGGTACCCCGATTCCACCAAAAAAGAAGGGTGAAGGGCACTTTTATGTCTTTTCATCTGACTTATGAAATTCAACTTCCGTGTTTTTATGACTCAAAAGCGTGGATTAGGATAAATGTTAGATTTATACGCAGCGGGCTATTATAATATACGGAATTTTACATAAAACCGGACTTTTTTAACTGGAAGGGCAATTTATTTCTATACTTCGGTTCTACACCTCAAGTTTTCCCAATGTGCTATGTTTTGTAAAAATCAAAGTCGCAGTTTTTTTTAATTAGCAATCAAACATTTAACCCGGCAAGGTTAATTTATTTTGGCATCTATTTAATAATATAGGCTATTTAATTAAACGTACTTAATTTCTTCTCCCGTAGTTCGAAATTTTGGTTTAGTTTAAATGAAATTAATGCATTTATTTTAAAAATTTGCATTTTTAAATAATTTTCATAAAGTTTTCGAAAGCAATTTTCAGATATAATCTATAAAATATTTACTCTTATCCTAAAGTAAATGTACATGATACTTTTTTAAAACTGATACTAATCTGTAGCTCTGTCTATTAGCTTAAATGCCATAAGATTTGCTAGGGTGACTAATGACAACATGGGAAAAAGAACTCCGTTAAGAAATATAGTTGAAATGTTGCATTGCTATAGTCTATACAGCTGGGTATTAAACAAATAAATAACAAAAACGAAATCCCAGAGCAAGACCGCTTTAATGGAACAAATGAACTGCCTCAAAGAAATGCAAATAGATGATATTTTAGTACACGATAGCGCTTTATTAAATAAATGTGCATCCTCTGTGAGGGCATAGATCTCTTTCAATATGACCATCCCCTTCATGGATCACATACTGCATCCTGTACACAACATTCTTGACGGTCGAACGTAACATGTCACCAGGAATGCTCAGCACAGCCCGTGATATATTGTCTTTTAATGTGATCAAACTCAGGTCCCAACCAAGATATATCTTAAACTTTAAACAATCCCACAGGGGTTGAAATGGGATTAGATCCAGGAAGTGAGACGTCCATTCAAGTGAAATAAAGGAACTCTGACTCTTTTTTTCTGTGAAGAAATGGCGCAATAGCCGCTGTACCGATACACAAATTTGCGGTTGAGCTCCATCCTGCATAAAAGGTAATTCATCTAGAAGTACTTCTACTGAAGTTGTGAAACAACAAATCTAGTCAACATATCACGATACTTTTGCAAGATATCCGTACATGTCTTTTGTCCTATTAAAGTAATATTCTCAATTATTAGTCCGATGACGCAATTTGCTGTGAAGCCACATCAAACAGTGACTTTTGGTGAATTCTAGTCAATATCTTGAACTGCATGGGATTGTTTGCAAGCCGAAATTCGAAACCTGCGAGTGTTAGTCCCATTTAGGTGAAAAGAGGCATTAATTCTCCACGACGTAGCACCATCGACCTCCATCCTACCACGAAATATCAGGGCAAATTCCGCCTTTTTATCATAATCGTTGTGTTTTAATTTCTTCACGCTGCTTGTCGTCTATGGGTAGAATTTTGCCCAAGATTTTCCATTCAGTAGTAAGATTTAAATCCAATTGTCGCAATACTCCCCTGGCGTACCTACTACCAGAAATGGTTCCATGGGTACTGTCAACGATAGCAGCCACGACATCAGTAACTGTCTGTTCTGACACTGTTTTCCACCCTCTACCATACCGAAACTGTTTCTTTAAACTTCTAAACCACGCCTTCCAGTGCATTGGTTGATAGAGAGCCTTTACGTAGGTCGTTATGACTTTGATATTTACAAAGTGTGGCGGTAGCTTTCAATTGGTGAAGATAAAAGAGCTTTACAAGTAACGCATGCTGAGACAACGTCAGACACATATTGAACTCAGCGGGCTAACATGTAGATTGTCCTTCAGGTTTTTTTTTTTCACTTATTTCTGAAATCTCCGTTTCTTAAGGAATCATTTTTGTCAAGTTCTCATTAGTCTCCGCACTAAATAGCTGGTAGATGGAGCTACAGATGGTTCTGAGCTGGGTTACTTCAAACAGAGGGCACTCTACATTTCTAGGCACAGCTGGAGAATGTTAGACATTTTTATTCAAAATTTCTGAAGATATAGTATTAATATATTGATGCATTTAGAAATTTGGCATATTTATTAGACCATAATGACGCGAAATATGGTTTATGCACTTTTTTACAATTTTCAGTAAACTGCAACAGCTATTTTGAACCTTAAATTTTCAAATAAAAATTTACTGAGGATTACTCATATGGAAATTTTTTTATTCTCATTTTTATTCATGATGTCTAATAAATATTTATTAATAATACATGAAAAGTTGTTTTTTTATTTATAAAATATATTAATAAAATGTTTAAAGTCTTACTCCCCTTTTAGAAGAAAAAATTTTTACCTTCATCATTTGATCGTCTGCTACTTTACTTAGCTTCATTTTATATGCAACGAAATTTATTTGCACATAAAAGCGTCAAAATTTATACAGTGTCTCTCAAACGTATGGGACACTTGTGCTTTACAAAAGGAAACTGTAGTAAAATAAATTAAGAAAACATGTAAAACATTTTTGTGGGTGTGTTTCATACTTAAATTTAGTAACAATTATTACATAACATACATTTTCTCAAAATATTAAAATATTAGTTTAAGAAAGATATAATTGCTTAGAACGGAGCAAGAAATGGCTCTCATAAGTGATGGGACACTTACTTTTCCATCAAATATTTATCCAAAATTTTACTTTTTGAAAGGTTTTAATATATTGTTGAATTTCCTTTTACTTTTAAAACATGATTTAATCTTCTTGGAATGGATTCGACTAATTTATTTTGTGATTTCTGGAGTGATTTTACCCCATTCTTCTTGAAGCACCGATTTTAATTGTTGTTTTAAAGAAATGGTGTGTTTGCGAATTCTTGATTCCAATTTTTGCCAAATATTTCTCTATGGTGATTTAAGTCTGGAGATTGTGGTGGTGTTTTTATTTTTCCAGGATAGTTATACAGCAGCCAGACTCTAACGTTCAAAGCAGTGTGCTTGGGGTCATTGTCCTGGTAGAATTTAAGATCGTTATGAAGGTTCAATTTTCGTGCTGAAGATTTCAAATTTTGATTTAAAATGTTCAATATACTTGTCCTGATTCCGACTGTCAATAAAATCATTATATCATAAATAAATGTCAATAAAAACTGTCAATAAAGATTACCAACTCCAGCGGACGACATACACCCCCATACCATAACTCCTCCTCCACCATCTTTTACTGTTGGCACCAAGTTCTGTTTGCGAAATTCTTTCACTGGCGTTTTCCTGGGTTCCACACCAAGATTCTACCGTCAGAACCAAATATATTAAATTTACTCTCATCAGAAAATATAACTTCATTCCAGTAATCAGAATTCTTATTTATGTTGGATTTTGCGAAAGCCAGTCTGAGTTTTCTATTCTTTTCACTTACGAAGAATTTTTTCCCCGTTGCTCTACCGTGATATCCAGCAGATCGAATTACTCTTCTAATAGTCAATTTCTTCTTCTTGTAATTATATGGACTTCTAATAGTCCATATAATTACAAGCATTATATGGAGATTAACAATTACTCCATATAATGCTTGTAAATCAGCAGCAACTTTAGGAGCACTCATTCTTGGATTTTTTTTTAATATTTCGAACGGTAATTCGCTTTATTCCATTGGATAGCTTTGATGGTCGGCCAGGTCTTCTTTTATCCTGAATCATATGATTCTTTTTATATCGTTTAAATGATACTGAAAATTGTTGAATGACTCAAGTTAACTGTTTCAGCAGTTTTTCTTATAGATTTTCCACGTTCAATATGCAAATTAATAACTAATTTTCGAACTTCAGGCAAAGTTTCTTTTCGCTTAGCATTCATGGCTGCACATAGCTAAAAAACACAAAAATTCCAAAACAAATTGGAGAGAAATACTGCAGACGATTTTATATATTACTGCCAATTGCTTTTGAGTAAAAATAAAAAACCCAAAAATATTTTTATTGTAGTAGGTAGTAGTATCTAATTGTTATGTCTTGGAGCAAAAACAATTTTACCTGACTGCCACTGGCTCCGACATAGCAATGTGAATATTCTGCATTTAAAATTTTAGAACACCATTCCAGAATTT